AGAAGTCAGACTCTGAGGCAGCAGAAGTTCACAAGTCTGACAATAAGGCAGGTGTGACTCAGTTCCAGAATTACTCCATTGCTTTGAAACGGGTTATCTCCCCCAACCGAGCACTCGTTTCACAGAAAACAAGCCAGTTAATTTCCCCACATCATTTGGAAATTAATTTATCTTAAATGAATTGTTCCCCAAATTAATTTCCCACAGATTTATTGCTTGAATAAATTACTGTTCAGCTATCTCTCAGTACAATCGTTTTCTTTTCTGCTGCCAACTCATCTTTTCTGTCCTGCTTCTTTCTGTCAGCCAGTTGTTTTTTTGTTGTGTATATGACTCTGTGTATATAAATATGCAACACACATACACTCATACTCCCTCCTTCCACCCCGTCACCCATCCCAGAATATACACAGCTCCTTCCCCTTTTCAAGATCGTTCCCTCCAAATGTACACACACACCATCCTAATTCACGTTACCCTTCTCACCAAAAAACTCCATGACTTCTGATTTCCTTTTGAAATCATATTAGGGCCCTTATTGCATATTTTGGGAGAGAAATGCATACTTATCAGGTGTATGTAGCCCCCTCGTCATCTGTGGGGTTCAAACCCTGTATCGGGTATTGAACTCATGGGCTATTTGCACTTTAGATGGCTACATATAGTAACTTCCGTCTCTGATCTGAGAACTAAAAAAAAGGAAGTGGGTTGTATATACCATTCTAACTTTCCCCATAAAAGCAATCCACATACATTTCCTAGGGAGAATTCTTCCCAAAGCACCTCCATTAATGTTACTGAGCAGACGTTTAAAAAGCATTATGTTCTTTTGATACAAAACATTCATGGTCTGCTTTTATTCTTGTTCACGTGGAACCCATCCATTTTCTGCAGGCCCAACTAAGCATTCAAAAATGCTTCATAATGCCAAACAACCTTCTCCAAGTGGTGCCCTTTAGATATATTGAACTGCAACTTTATCCCTAGTGGCAGCAGTGGCTAAGGATGATGGGAATCAAGTTCCATCCCATCTGGATGTTGTGAGCTTAGGGAAGTCTGATTTAACTAGTATATACACTTCCACTGTCTCATCCGTACAGCAAGACTCTTCAGCTTCATTTGTCTAGTTGGTCATGCGTATGGGAGACAGGTTGTAAGCAAGAGTTTCACAGGGCAGGAATGCAGAAAATGCAACGAAGCAGCTGCTTCTAGCACACAGCGTGAGAAATGGAAAGCAGAATTTCTGTTAAGTTATGGAAAGGACGACTTGCTGTTTCTAAAGATACTGAGCTGTGAATTTTTCAGGCATAGGATCTGGCCAAAAGTTCTTTTATACAATACTGTACGGGAAAGAGTAACCTGTAGTTGATTTGCAGAAACAGGTTGCTGATATGTGTCAGTGTTTGATTAGCCTTTTTGTGGGGGTGGGGGGACCAAGGGGCAGAGAAAGTGATTTGCAAACATATGATCAAAGGTTTTGGACTTCTGCGTGTAACATAATTTTTTCCCCTTTTCTTTCTTTGCTGCTAATTTTGTGACTCTTGATCCTGCTGTTGTATGCATTTGTACTTTTTTTTATTAGTTTCCATTGCATTTGTATTTATACAGTAGAGTACTTTTTATAAATCCCTATATGGACACAGTTAGCATCAACAACTAATTCATTTTATTCTGTGTCAGAGCTCATATTATAAAAAAAAAAAAATACTGTTGAAGTTAAAGCCTGCGTTCTCCCTTGAAGAGGGGGACTGAAAAAATATTCTCCAGATTTTTTTAATGTTAATGTTTTAGCTTATAATTTTTATAACAGTTATGCTTTAATGTTGTTTTCATGAATATTCACTATATTAATCACCTAGCACTGTCAAAGGGGTGAAAGAGAACATGTCTAAACGCATACATTGCGAGCTGCGTCATCTCTAGTGTCTAGGAAGATTCAGCCAATGGGAGCTCGACAGTCTCCCCCCGGCATATCTTCCACAGCATGCGCAAAACATAGGGCAGTTCAGAGATGGCTACTTGGAGCCCTTGGTTACCTTGCACCCTGGTTTCATTTATCTGGAATGTGGGTTGCTGCCCACTCCCTTCGCCTTACAGAAACGCAGTTAAAAAAATTCTGAGATATTTTAAAAACAATAAAGCAATGGGCTTCTAGAGTCCATGTGTCATTTAAAATTTTTGTATTAGGAAGACAGGTCACCATGTACTTTGTACAACAATCCTACATTTAGCTATGTACTTTCCCTATGAAAATGTCTACTCCTAAGGGTCACTTATCTCTGTTGATATATTCCTCCATCTGTTTCTTACATACATGTGTGGGCACTCTTCTATGTGTTTCTCCCAGCTGCCCTTACCATGGCCTCATTTTACTAGGCTGAAAAGCATTCTAGGAAAATGAAAATGATGCAACACACCATCATTGATGATGCAGCATACACAAAACTGCAGCACACCAAACGACCTATACAGGTAGTCCTTGACTTAATGACCATTCGTTCAGCAACAGTTTGAAGTTACGATAATGCTGAAAAACAGACTTACGACTGGTTCTCGAAGTTGTAGCCGTCCCAGCACCCCGGTGGTCACGTGATTATGGTCTGGGTATTTGACAACCCATTCACACTTACGACTGGTGGCCCGCAATCACATGATCACTATTTGCAACCTTCCATGCCAGCTTCCCCAGAAGGTCAAAGGGGAAGCTGGCAGAAAGATCGCAGGTCGCTGGCTCCCTCCCCCAGCCCCTCTGCACTTGCGCTGCATCAGCCACTCATGCACCCTTCCTATGCTGCACCCCCACACACCTTCCCTGACCTGCACATTTTAAACACAAAAAGTAGCAGCAGAGGGCCTCCAGGCACCAAGGGAATCTGGGATGTTGTGGGACCTACTGATGCCTTATTGAAGAGAGGAGAGTTACTCTATTCACGCCAGTCATTAATAGAGATTGCCTGTATTCTGGTTATGGTCTTCATGTTATAATTCTGAACACAGTATACAGGTGGTCATTGTTTAATGATCATTTATTCAGAAACCATTTGAAGTTACAGTGGGGCTGAACAAATGGTACTAACACCCAGTCCTCGAAGTTACGGCTATTGCAGCGCCCCCACAGTGATCAAAATTCGGGTGCTTGGCAGCCTGCCTGCATTTAGGACTGCAGAGGTGCTTCAGCTTCCCCCCACCCGCATGTCTCCCCCCCATCTCTGTCCTTTTGGTTGCTTGCACTCCACTGTCCCTGCCGCCCCCAGCTGACCTTCGCCATCTTCCTCCTGCTGCTGATAAGGCATGCCCACCTGGTCCTTCATGAAGTAGCTGCTGGCCATGCAAGGCCTTCCTGAGGCCACGCATGGCCATCTCAAAGTTGTGTGAGGCCTTTGGAGTTCTTGTGAGGATTTGGAAGGCCATGCATGGCCACCAGCTGCCTTGCAAAGGGCCAGATTGGGTGCACCTCAGCAGTAGGAGGAAGACGACATAGATCAGTTGGGGGCTGCAGGGATGGTGGAGTGCAGGGCAGTTTGCGTACCCTCCTGCCCCTGGCAGCAGTCACCCTGGTGTGGCTGCACTTGTGCTGGGCCACAGCAGCCACTCGCCCACCCTCTGGCCTGCTTGCGAGCCACCTGAGACTTGTGACCTCCTGCTGGCTTCCCCATTAACTTTGCTTGTTGGAAGCCGGCATGGAGTCATGAGGAGGTCCTCGCTTAACAACCCGCAATCCTTGCTTAATGACGGCAGGAGGGAATGCTGGGATTGCCGTTGCTAAGTGGTGTGTTCATGCGATGTCACGCTTTATGACTGCATCACTTAGTGATGGAAATTCCAGTCCTAATTACCATCGTTAACTGAGGACTACCTGTACATAAATAATTAAACATAATGTTCCCACTGTAACAGAAATAGGTCGAAACAGAAATATGCAAGTTCCATTGGCTGGTGGTCTATATTGCAGCTGGAACCCATTTTTAAAACATAAAGTGGATGTCTGCAAGGCTGAAAGCATCCTTTTGCTCTTAATTCCCCTTCTCCCCCCCCGCCCCCCATTTCAGTTCCACCTGCTCTGTAGGATGCAAAAGGAATGCTGCCAGGGTTACTTGTTATGTCTTTAGATCTCAATTTACAACATTGAATGGATTTTGAAAATAGCTTTGGAGTATTTCTATAGATAGAACAGCCTTTGGTTTGTATCCCACTGCATAGGCTGAACAGCTACTGAAAGTGAGGCTCCTGATGTTCTTGTCTTCCTGCTGAGAATGCTTTTAGTGTTGTACATTTTCTTATTGATTATTCTGTATTAATGAGTTATTGTGAATCACCCTGGGGATATTGAATTGAAGAACAAAACAGAAATATTACTTGGCATGTGGAAGAATTACAATTTTCAGCATTATTTCCTTTTGCGATTGAAGATGCTGGAAAAATAAGTCTTGTGCTGTTGAAGTCCAACCTTAAGCCAATTGCATAAGTCTTCCATATTGTGACCCAGTTTATATTCTGAATCATGAAATTGTACAGCTGGAAAAAGGCCATTTAGGCCATTGTGTTCAGCTTCTTATTTAGTGTAAGAATTCAAATTAAAGCATGTGCAATGCCAGCCTCTGCCTACACAACAAAAAAGAGGGAGCCCAACATTGGTCCTGTTGCTTTTATATAGTAGGATTGTTTCCCCATAACACTTAATGATCCTCTTCCTTTTTTCCCTCTGTACTCTGGAAAGACAGAGAGTAGATCTTGACTTTCTTCTACATGGCATCCTTTAAGGCACTTGAGCCAACTGCCATATCCGCACCGCTCCTCCCTGTCTTCCCAAGGTTGAACATTCCCAGCTTCTTCAGTCTTCATAGGCTGTGATCCCCTTTGCTGCCTGTCTGCTCCAGCAACAGTGTGTTCTTAGTTTACCTGGGATGCTCGTGTTTGGGGGCCACGATGTCCTGTAAATGGGTGAATGTTGAGAAGGCAAGTAAGTAGACAAGTTACATCTTGTGACAGATACTTTAGGCTTATTCTGAATTTTCTAAAAGCCCTTTGTCCAGTTTTGGAATGATCAGATTTTAAATTGGAGTGCTTCATTATTGTAACATGTTGTGTGTCTCTCTCTTGCGTTCCAGGGCTTACTCCCTCGTGGATTCTAGTCAAGTATCTACGTTCCTAATTTCCATTCTTCTCATTGTTTACGGCAGCTTCAGGTAAGGTCGTTG